CCACAATACCAGGACTGCCCCCACTAATACCACAATACCAAGACTGTCCCCACTAATACCACAATACCAGGACTGTCCCCACTAATACCACAATACCAGGATTGCTCCCACTAATACCACAATACCAAGACTGCCCCCACTAATACCACAATACCAAGACTGTCCCCACTAATACCACAATACCAGGACTGTCCCCACTAATACCACAATACCAAGACTGACCCCACTAATACCACAATACCAGGACTGCCCCTTCATACCACAATACCAAGACTGTCCCCACTAATACCACAATACCAAGACTGTCCCCACTAATACCACAATACCAAGACTGTCCCCACTAATACCACAATACCAAGACTGACCCCACTAATACCACAATACCAGGACTGCCCCCACTAATACCACAATACCAGGACTGCCCCCACTAATACCACAATACCAGGACTGCCCCTTCATACCACAATGCCAGACTGCCCCTGTACCACAATACCAGGACTGCCCCAGTAATACCACAATACCAGGACTGCCCCCACTAATACCACAATACCAAGACTGCCCCCACTAATACCACAATACCCGGACTGCCCCCAGTAATACCACAATGCCAGGACTGCCCCTTCATACCACAATGCCAGGACTGCCCCTTCATACCACAATGCCAGGACTGCCCCTTAATACCACAATACCAGGACTGCCCCCAGTAATACCACAAAACCAGGACTGCCCCCACTAATACCACAAAACCAGGACTGCCTCTTAATACCACAAAACCAGGACTGCCCCCACTAGTACCACAATACCAGGACTAACCCTTAATACCACAATACCAGGACTGCCCCTATAAATACCACAACACCAGGACTGCCCCTATAAATACCACAACACCAGGACTGCCCCTTGATACCACAGTACCAGGACTGCCCCTTAAATGTCATGCTACCAGGATTGCTCCTTAAATATCATGCTACCAGGACTACCCCTTAATACCACAATACCAGGACTGCCCCTTAATACCACAATACCAGGACTGCGCCTATAAATACCACAATACAAAAAACTGCCCCCACTAATACCACAATACCAGGACTGCCCCTTAAATATCACGCTACCAGGACTACCCCTTAATACCACAATACTAGGACTGCCCGTATAAGTACCACAATACCAGGACTGCCCATATAAATACCACAATACCAGGACTGCCCCTTAATACCACAATACCAGGACTGCCCCTTAATACCACAATACCAGGACTGCCCCTTAAATATCATGCTACCAGGACTGCCCCTTAATACCACAATACCAGGATTGCTCATTAAATACCACAATACAAAAAACTGCCCCTTAATACCACAATACCAGGACTGTCCCCACTAACTCCACAATACCAGGACTGACCCTTGTAACAGACCGTTTTGCACAAAAGGGGTAAAAACCGCTTAGACGATAATCCCCTTTCAGAGACAGGCACAGCTACTGTAGAATCACCAAAACTCACGAACTGAATACAAGTGAATGCACCAAACTCCCGAACTGCATACAAGGGAACGCTCCAAACACTCGAACTGCATACAAGGGAACGCTCCAAACACTCGAACTGCATACAAGGGAACGAACTGCATACAAGGGAACGCTCCAAACACTCGAACTGCATACAAGGGAATGCTCCAAACACTCGAACTGCATACAAGGGAATGCTCCAAACACTCGAACTGCATACAAGGGAATGCTCCAGACACCCGAACTGCATACAAGGGAATGCTCCAAACACCCGAACTGCATACAAGGGAATGCTCCAAACACCCGAACTGCATACAAGGGAATGCTCCAAACACCCGAACTGCACATGGAATGTCTTAAACACTCGAACTGCATACAAGAATGCTCCAAACACTCGAACTGCATACAAGTGAATGCTCCAAACACTCGAACTGCATACAAGGGAATGCTCCAAACACCCGAACTGCATACAAGGGAATGCTCCAAACACTCGAACTGGAACCTCCCAAATAGCTGCTAGCAGACGAACAGGAAAAGCATCCAAGCGGCTTACACTCCTGGCAATCAGTCTCTATCAGCATACAGTAAATCCCCCCAAAGACGAGACAAGGCTCCGTGTTGAGGGTCAAGCAGTGGTCTGTTTAATGAGGGCTACCTGCCCAGTATTTATGCAGGTCTCCCACCTGGTGGACACTCCCCTAGGGGACCAGATGGAAGACTGTAACAAAAGACAGACATGTACCAATTACAGACATACAGAAGTAAAACATCCCCACAATGCATCCTGGCTTCCTCCCCTCTGCCCTGGAGAAGTAATTCAATTATCTCCCAGGACAAAGGCAAAACTCCATTACACATGTGGGGACACAAAGACAGACTATCACTTTAAAATACATAATGGGACAAATGGGACAGTAAATATATACATGTAACATATCCCCAGATAGCTCAGGTCTGAGTGCACATTATTAGGTGAATGGCACTTAGACCACACGAATGCAGTTTAATTGCCATGGAGCCAAAGTCTTTAATTCCACGAACAGGCTCCATGGCATAGCTATCTGGGTTAAAACATTCCCCCAACACAAAATACCGAATTTACATGCATTCGTTAAATCCGTACGAATTAGAACCAGGGGTTGGAGGTTCAGCGGTGCCTGCACGTAAAAGTGTCCAGGTTTGATGCAGGAAAGCCGGGCAGAAAAGCGCTGGCTGCCCGGGGAGCTCCAGAACATCGCCATCGTGTGGCGGCTAGGTGTAACCGCGACCACCCAGTAACAGTCAATTAAACTGCGGTTAACCGCAGCTACTGGGTGGTCAATTGCCGGCACACGCTCGTTAAGCCGCGGTTAACCGCGGCTTCAGGGAGGTAAATGGAGGGCGCACTCCACCTTCTGGGTGGCCAATTAAGGTCGCCGGCCGGCTTCCCACGGCTCTGGGGAGGCTGAAAAGAAACTGTTTGTTCGGTAGATAGAATCTACCGAACGGCTGTGCAGAAAGGGAGAAATAAATCCTTCTGTACAGTAAAATTAACCCTTTAGCTGCCGGTCCATAATCCAAAGGCAGCAGGTGGGCAACCAGGCTCCTCCAATGCAATGTGGCGAGATTGGTCTCGTCACAACCCTTAATACCACAGTACCAGTACTGCCCCTTAAATATCATGCTACCAGGACTACCCCTTAATACCACAATACCAGGACTGCCACCACTAAATATCATGCTACCAGGACTGCCCCCACTAATACCACAATACCAGGACTGCCCCTTAATACCACAATAACAGGACAACCCCCCCCCCTTAATACCTCAATACCAGGACTGCCCCTTAAATATCATGCTACCAGGATTACTACCGAATGGCGCTCAGATCCAATACACACAGTTCAATCGCCATGGAGCCAAAGTCTTTCACATTGTTCTTTCGGTATACGAATGGCTCCATGGGATGGCTATCTGGGTTAAGTCCATTCGTGAAATATAAAAAGTCCAGAACGGACTGGCGTTCGTATGCCAGAGGACCAAGAAGGGAGGTCGGCGGTTTCAGCGGTGTTCGGGAGAAAAAGTTTCGTTTTGGGTTCCATAAGATTATCGACGAACACCCCGTGCGTCTAAAATGGCCGCCACCTCGTGGTCGACATACAAACGACGACCACCCAGCATACGGTTCCAATTAAAAGGTGTCTGCAGTTAACCACAACGTTCTAATTGAGGCCAATAGGTTAACCAGCTGCACACTTCTCTTCTGGGTGGCCGGCCGTTCGGTAGTTTCGTTCGGTAGAATAAGAAATAAACGAACGGGGCAGTACGGGCAGGTAATTCCACAAATACATATGAAATACACGAACAAGCAAGATAGTGCTCAGACAGAGGAATCTGTCACAGTCCTCTTCAACCTATAGTTCCTGTAAGTTTTCTTGTAATTGTCCTATTTATAGTTAAATCCCCCCTCTCATAATATTGTAAAGCGCTACAGAATCTGTTGGTGCTATATAAATGGCGATAATAATATTATTATTATTAGTAATAATAATAGGCTGTACTGATACAATATCCTGTGATTATACAATCAGATGTAATAATGCAATAAAGTGTAAAGGTACAATAAGCTGTAATAATACACTGAGCTGTAATAATACAATAAGCTGTAATAATACACTGAGCTGTAATAATACAATAAGCTGTAATAATACAAGGAACTGTAATAATACAATAACCTGTGATTATACAATGAGCTGTAATAATACAATAAGCTGTAATAATACACTGAGCTATAATAATACAATAAGCTGTAATAATACAAGGAACTGTAATAATACAATAAGCTGTAATAATACAATAACCTGTGATTATACAATGAGCTGTAATAATACAATAAGCTGTAATAATACAAGGAACTGTAATAATACAATAACCTGTGATTATACAATGAGCTGTAATAATACAATAAGCTGTAATAATACACTGAGCTATAATAATACAATAAGCTGTAATAATACAAGGAACTGTAATAATACAATAAGCTGTAATAATACAATAACCTGTGATTATACAATGAGCTGTAATAATACAATAAGCTGTAATAATACAAGGAACTGTAATAATACAATAACCTGTGATTATACAATGAGCTGTAATAATGCAATAAGCTGTAATAATACAACAAGCTGTGATTATACAATGAGCTTTAATAATAAGCTGTGATTATACTGTGGCAAAACTAGCCACTTAAAGGACCACTATAGTGCCCCCACTTTCAGGGTCCCTCCTACCGCTCTGGAAGGGGAAAGGGGTAAAACTACCTTTTTCCAGCGCTACGGAGAGCTCTCCTCCTTCTCTCCTCCTCCGCCCGTTTCCCAGCTCGCCGTTGGCAAGAGCTGCGCGCGCATTCAGCCGTCGCATAGGAAAGCATTTACAATGCTTTCCTATGGACGCTGGCGTGCTCTCACTGTGAAAAATCACAGTGAGAAGCACGCAAGCGCCTCTAGTGGCTGTCAATGAGACAGCCACTAGAGGATTAGGGGGAACGCTTAACCCATTCATAATTATAGCAGTTTCTCTGAAACTGCTATGTGTATAAAAAAAATGGGTTAACCCTAGCTGGACCTGGCACCCAGACCACTTCATTAAGCTGAAGTGGTCTGGGTGCCTAGAGTGGTCCTTTAAGACTATCTATATATTGAATGTGTTTATATCCCTGTTTCAGCTGTGAGAACCAAGTGTACTACTGTATGTGTCTTTCAGAGAATGAGGGCGTTGTGGCAAAACTAGCCACTTAAGACTAGCCATATTGAATGTGTGTGTATCCCTGTTTCAGCTGTGAGAACCAAGTGTATTAATGTATGTGTCCTTCAGACGAATGAGGGCGTTCGTATGCTTACAGTATGGAAAACCCAGCTTTCCTAATGTAGCTTCACGAACAGTGGGTTTCAACACTGTTCGTGAAACGAATAAACTACCGAATGGTCGACGACACACAAGAGGTCGTGTGGCTCCCATTACGGATGGCAACAATGTATCTCTCGGCAGTTAATAGATTTTCAGGGTGGCTGCCGTTCGGATACCGACCACGTGTATCTCTCGGCAGTTAATAGATTTTCAGGGTGGCCGCCGTTCGGATACCGACCACGCGGCGGCGGCCATCTTGGATCCTTTGTTAGCCCAGCGGTGTTTCGTCGTCGAGTGCCCGGAACTAAAATCGGTTACTCAACGGCACAAACACCGCTGGACTTCCAGGCCGTTCGGGACCACGGTCTTTCGTTACTTTCTCTCTACATGTGTATTCATGACTTTTATGAGGAGTTTATATTCAAGTGTATTTAGTGCGGCACTCATTTTTTAACCCATATTGGACTTCACCTATATCCAATATTTATTGGTATAGTGTATTGTTATTTTTTGTTATTTTTATTACCATTTTTTGTTATAATAAACGAATACCAGTATTCAAAGATCTCCTGTATATTGGGCACTCTTTTGGAGACACTCTAAGGATTGCAAGGGGGAACATCGAGAAACCAACGAAAGAAGGGTTTGGACAACCCCCTAATGGTCCAAGGGAGCATACTTTTAGAGTTATATGATGGTATGACTCTAGTCTTGTGAGTTCAACCATCTTACCTCTATTATGTATTATACTGTATAGACATACTACGCTATCTGCATTAATTCTGTTTTACAGATTGTTCAAGAGATTTCACAGCTCCACCTATTATTTTGTATGTATTGTATTTAGTGCGGCGTTCGGCTAATTGTGCTGGGTTCTGAGTGGTACTTTCACGAAGTATGCGCTCAGACCCCAGCTATCTGCCTAACGGCCAAGTTATGGATTTTTAAGTAAAAAGCCAGTTCTGCTGTACGGAGGGATAATCCACTTAACAGGATATTCTTATGGGAGTATCCCTCTCGTACAGCGGTGCATGGTGGGAGAAATGTCCTGTATGTTAAGTTCCCCATGTAGTCCCCTACTGTACAACCCCTGTAAAGTAATTAAGGAAACCCCTTGCATGGGGAACCACATAAATACTGGAGCTTGTGAATAAAACCTCAGTTGACTCCCAGCCTATGTGTCACCTAGTTCTTGGGAAGGAAGGATCCTTATAACTCTACCGGGATTATTGTATGCTGTACTTGTTTTTCCTGGATTATTGTACGCTGCTCTTGTCTACCAGCGGAGATACTACCTCTCCGCTACACAGACATACACACATTCTGACAGACATACAGTGACAGGCACACACTCTCTGACTGAGACACACACTGATAGACATACACACATTCTGACAGAAATACAGTGACAGGCACACACTCTCTGACTGAGACACACACTGACAGACATACACACATTCTGACAGACATTGAGTGACAGGCACACACTCTCTGACTGAGACACACACTGACAGACATTCACACATTCTGACAGACATTGAGTGACAGGCACACACTCTCTGACTGAGACACACACTGACAGACATTCACACATTCTGACAGACATTGAGTGACAGGCACACACTCTCTGACTGAGACACACACTGACAGACATACACACATTCTGACAGACATACAGTGACAGGCACACACTCTCTGACTGACACACACACACACACACACACACACACACACACATTTGCTCACAAATTGCTATTTTTATTTAAATCCACCCAGCCTCTCTACCATTGGGAGAGCTGAGTGGATCTTTCCCTGGCGTCCAGTGTGTCTCCTCTCAATCTTCCTGCAGTTTCTCTCTGCTCCCCTGCGTGCTCTCTGTAGTGATGCCGGAGCCGGAGTGACTTCATGCCACTAAACAGCGCATGAGGGAGCAGAGAGGACCTGCAGGAAGGTTACTGCTCCCTGCGTTGGCCGGCTTTAATGTTTCCTGCGCGGCTTAGCAAAGGGCTGAGGTCGTGTGGCGCCCATTAACCGATTGCAACATTGTTGCAATCGGTAGTTAAAGGCTTCCCTGGGTGGCCGCCGTTCGACTAAAATTGGCTACTCGACGGCGCGAACACCGCTGGACTTCCAGGCCGTTCGGGAGCCCCGGTCGTTCGGTAGTTTGTTCCCCTAATACCAATCGGTAGTTTTGCAATGTGTTAGAAATAATGTGTATTTTGTGCGGCGTTCGGTTAGTTAGACTGGGAGCTGAGCGGTATTCTCACGAACTGTGCGCTCAGCCCCCAGCTATCTACCGAACGTCCATTTGTGTAAATCAGAGAAATATTATAGAAGTTATGTATTTTAGTATAAAATTTAAGTTCTGCAGCACAGAGGGATAATCCACTTAACGGTATATTCCAGTGGGAGTATCCCTCTCGTACAGCAGTGCAGAAATGTGTGTGTTGGTCAGTTCCCCATGTAGTCCCCTACTGTCCCACCCCTGGAATGTCAGTAGGGAAACCCCTTGCGTGGGGACTTGCATAAATACTGTGACCTGTGAATAAAACCTCAGTTGACTCCCAGCCTATGTGTCGTCTAGTTCTTGGGAAGGAAGGATTCTTATAAAGCAACCGGGATTATTGTATGCTGTATTTATTTCCTTGGATTATTTTATGCTGTTCCTGTTTCCCAGTGGAGATACTGTGGATTGTACTACCTCTCCGCTACATATACAATGGGCTGTAATCATTCAAACATCTCTGCAATAATATTCTGAACTGTAATGATACACCTGTAAACTAAAGTGGTTATGGTGCTTGGAGTGTCCCTTTAATTCCATGCGGACACTGACAGTTTTTTTTATTTATGAATATTGTATTATTTTCTAAATAAAAAGAGGAACATGATGGCCAAAAGGGGAACGGGAGTCTGGACAGCAGACTGTGATTCAGTGATTAGTCATTTCTAGAATTAAATACTTGGGAATACCATTTGTGTGCTAGGTACATACTCGTGATTACTGCGCCTTTGTTTATATCTGGATATATTGGTTTTAGATAGTCTGTGAGTCCTTTAGAACCCACTCTATCCAAACAATACTGTCAATTTTCTATATACGGGAGTATTAGCATATCTCTCAAATTAGAAATTCACAAAACACAGTTTACAAGGGAGTCATTTTAAATTGTTTCTTCTACATCACGCAGTGCTCTATAGTAACGTCAACTTTGGTGGGCATGGTAGAAGGAGATAGGTCAGTGATGCAAATTGCATCACTGGCACCGGCCAAGGGGGGCTGTCTGAGCTTGAAGAATTGACAGGTTAGCCGGGAATGAACAAGCCCACTGAGGGCAGACCATGCAGAGATCATGGTCACCAACGTGGGACACCAAGGAAAAAAAGTAGGATGGTAGGACTCTTCCACCAAAATCGTCATGTTGTGATATATCTGCTGGTAGGTGTCATTACTAAGCAATTATATATTGTCAATGTCAGCAAGCCTGGTCTGTGAACACATATAAAGCACAGTAAAACCAAGAATGTTGAGTGCTCTGGCATAAACCTAGGGGTCTCCTTTTCTTGGGGTATGGTGGAAATGTTTAGATCAGAACCGATAGCTGGGTAGCTGTTGAGTCAGGGTCTAGAGCTGCAGCAAGAGAATCCTTAGATGGGTCTTACCTCCCAGTCATGTTCTAGAGTAGGGTTCAGCTACCTATGTAACGTGTGCCGTGCACGACACTCTAGGCTGCCAGAGCCAAACAGACTCTGGCCTATCAGCAGTCCCAGTGAGACTTCAGATTCCTGTTTGTGCAACCTGAATGGTGATTGCAGGTAGTGAGGGATAATCCTCAATTTACGCATTGCAGAACTCAGAAAACGTCCTCCCAGCACATGTGAAAAGGAATGTGTGACGAGACCAATCTCGCCACATTGCATTGGAGAAGCCTGGTTGCTCGCCTGTTGCCTTTGGATTATGGCCCCATGTTAAAAGGCTTGATTTTCCCCTACAAAGACATGAAAGCAGGGTCATTTGGTGCTTGCCCTGTTTGAGCGGTGATACCCCAGATAGCTATGCCATGGAGCCCATTCGTATAATGAAAGACTATGGGAAAGACTTTGGCTCCATGGCAATTGAACTGTATGTGTGCGCTCTGAGCGCCATTCAGTAATAATGTGCGCTCAGATCTGAGCTATCTGTGGATATGTTGAATGTACCTGTTTTGTGCAATGGCTGCACAGTTATATGTTTTTATGTGTTTTATTGTCTTTTGCTGCCATGTGTTCAATGGAGTTTTGCCTCTGTCCTTTGGAGATAATTGGATTACTTCCCAATTATCTCCAGGATAGAAGACTCTGTGGAACTGGTTTTGGGCAGAAAAGCCATGCTTCCTTTGGTCACAAAGGACTACGATCTATCTTTTGAACCACTGGACCAATTTGGATGATTTTGACATATGTTTGTATTTGGAGTATGCTGATTCTGAAAATGTATTTTGAATGTGATGCATACTTTTCAAATTATGAATAATGTGGAAAAAAATTATTTCTCTGCTTGTGATAATTACATTACCCATTGTGTAAGGTAATTGTATCACAGGCAGAGGGGAGGATTTTGTGTGGGAGTGTCTGAGTGTATTGTATGTGTTTATTGGTTGTGTTCCAAAACCCTGTGGGTGGTACTAATGTGTAAGAATGTGTACATAAGCACAATAAACCCCTGTGCCTGTGTCTCTGGAAGCGAAGATCTACTAAACGGCGGTGTAACCCTTTTATGCCTGGGGGTGCCGTTACAGAATGTGCACTGGAGTGGACACCTGGGAAGCCATAATGCAAGATATACACAGACCTGCTGAATAAACCTACCCCTCAAACAGCCCACACACAAACACACACACACACAGTCCCCACAAACACAACATCACTGGCAATCCACATACACGCACACAGCCCCACAAGTAGCCTCTCACATGCAATACCACAAGCGGCCCAACACATACACACAACAAACACATCATGTGACACAAACTACTCATGAACATATACAATATAGCAACCCACATACACACAAATACAATGTTACATGTGTGGACGTAGTGGGGAGTTGTCTATAGTGTCCCTTTTACTATCCCCCTTTTACATCCCAATAATGCAACATAAGACAGAGTTTGTGAAAATAGGCCACAGCTTCTTTATTAAATATTTCACCAAACGATATCACCTATACTTTCTATCAAATATATATGCTTTAATAATTTGAACATCAAACAACATAACTTATCAATATAACTTAACAATGTTCCATAAACATACCTGTGACGAAGTGCCCTTCGCCACTTGTGCCTGGAGAGGACTGCTTGCCCGCCTCTTGCCCTGTGACTATGGCCCATGGGATGTATTGCACTTTAAAGACATGATTTGGGCATAATGGATTTGTGTTGTGCTGCTGCTGGCCCTTTAAGAACCATCTGGGGACATACTGTGGAGTTACTGGGTGGCCACCATTTCCTGTATCAGAAGCACATGGTGAGAACAATGGATGGCGGCCATTTTAACTCACAGACACTGTTTGGACTTTTCAACACGGTGCCATCTCGCCAGTATTTGGTGCACAGAGACATCGTGCAGTGGTTTTGGACTATACAGCAGGGGACACATTATAAAGTGATTGTTTTTCATTTAGCCTTTATATGTTCTGCAGAATCTGCATTAAACTGTATTTTCCAAAGTACTGAACGGATCTGGGTGAATTTTGGATATGTGGTTCACCCAGATCCCCCGGTTCCAAGGATATACTTTTTATGGGGTTATTGCATGTTTTGGGGTCCCTGTGTGTTTTATAAAATTGTAATGTTTCTGGCCAGCAGATGATTGAGCTTTGTGTATTGTAGAAACTCAATTATCTAGCCTGGCCCAGAGGAGGAGTTTTGTGTTGCATAAATTGTGAGTTCTGTGTGCCAGTAAATCAGTCTTGTTCCAGCATTAAGCCTTGGCTCATGTTTGGGGGAAGGGATACCTACACTCTGGGGATTGCTATAATCACTTACTCCCCAGAGGAAGCTCTTGCAATAGCCTGATTTGTTCCTGTTCCTGCTCTCTGGAGAAAGAGAGGTTCACCCACTGGAAGCTGGATCCTGGCCTTGGGTCCAGGGTGGGGGGAAACAGCAGAGACCCCGGCGCAGTTGCATCACTGGAAGTGGGGTCTGCAGTGCTGATGGTGTCGGTTGGAGTGCTTGGGGTCCTCAGCGAGCACTAGGAGCATCGATTGGCAGAGGTACTCAGTCGGAGTGCCAGCGTTCCGTCACAATACCCGTCCTTGACAATCAATTATCTGTAACCTCAGAACTCACCTGGGCACTTGTCCTCCCCCCTCGTCCAAACCAACACGGGCCACAAAACCTAGCCTTCCACCAACACCATGCTAACCTCTGGCCGACCTTTGGCTCAGTGGGCATGTCCGTAATAAACCGTACCTTAACTTCACCGAGGCTAGGGGAGGGATCGGCCCCACTTTCCTTCACACCCGTTGGACTCCCCCAGTCCAACCCACGATTGGCGAGGACAACTGCCTGCCTGCTGTAACGAAAGGCAAGTGAGAAAACAGTGAAACATAAACAAATAAATAAATAAAAGGCAGGGAGGGGAACAATTCAAGCCGATTATAAAATGGCAGGGGGGAAGCACCTAACATGTCTCCTATTTATACCCCTTACCCTGCCAATCACTTCCTGCTAACCACACCCAGCCCCACCCTATCACTCTTTCCTACACACCCGCCACACTCTCCATGCTCCTTGATCCGGCTAGCTTTTCCTGCCTCCTCAGGTCCTAAGCAACTGCAGCACACATATATAACACAAGCACAATATAGTTATATACAAATATCAATTTAAACAAGTAGGACTGGCACCCCAAGGGACTTAAAGTTTTTGTTTTGGCACAGTACTACTAAAAGGTTGCCTATGCCTGTTCTATATATCTCTGTAATCAACAGCTACCCAGCTTCTGGCCCTGATAGAAGCATTTCCACCATACCACAAGAAAAGGAGACAGAGACCCCATGGACATTATTTAGACAAACATTTCCGTTATCTGTTGGAGGTACAGAGAGATTCCTTATTACTGACCCGCTTGAAGTTGATTTTTCTGGTTTGTGCTTTGTGAAATGTTTGCTCGAGGTCCTAGCAGCATTCAGTTGGGTTAAGGTCATGACTTTATGCCAACCATTTTGTTACTACTTCAGCCATTCGGTTATGTGTATCTCACAATGTGACATTCATATGGCTGATGGACAACTAGACAAAGATTTCCCGAGATCAACGTTCCCTCAGTAAGTGCAAGTCTGTGTACAGAGGATATGAAGCAGTTGCGATCGATGGTACTTTACTTTCTAGGGGTCTGCTATTAACATGTTGAAAACTAGGGCAAACAGGTAGTGATCTGGTGAACTACCTCAACTCATTCCTCCATCCTTTACCGATTACAGTGCAGTAAAAGCTTTCCAAGTGCGGAGAGGTATATATACAGCCTTACAGCCATTCTGTTTAATGTGTTATTTTTCTATCAGTTTTTGGAATCGGTGCTACTTTTCATCTTACTTTGGTTTTCGGTTTAGGATGTTTTTTCAATGTTTTGAATATCTTCAAGCACTGATAAGTATAAATATAATTTTTTTATTTTTTACTTTCTTTTATTTCTCTAAAACTTACAAGAGAGCAAAGAGGATGGGGGCATAGTATCCAGTTTATGAAGGAGGTAAGCATTTAGGTGCATTTTTTATGAGTTTGGGGAGTGAGGACGCCTAACATCCGAGTGCGTTAGCCCTTCTGGACCAAGAGTCTCTAAGGCCTCTAAGTACCATAACCACTGCAGTGCTGTAGCAGACTCCTTTCCCTTGTGTTCGGTTGTCCATATTCCCTTGTTCACTTCCCGAATGGATGGTGTGTGGTCCCCCTTTTTATATTTCCCCGAACACCGACCACCCCTGGCTGTTAACCGCAATTAAGTCGCCTCATGGCGGGCGGTCAAAACTTTACCCGAATGGCGATTCCGTTCTACCAGACGGATCTGAGCGCTATTTGGGCAAATTGGGTGCTCAGATCCAGGGATATAAGACTGTGGGGGTCCTGGAAAATATGACTTTTGGGGTGTTTTATGTATGTTTCATATATTTCCCTGTAACGGAGCGATAATTGAGTTACTCAGTTTTTACTCAATTATCTCCCAGACACAGGGACACCTGTGTATATTTTGAATGGAGAACCCATGCTGGAGGTCTGTGCATAAAAGGGTGAGTTTGTGTGGAATAAATCAGTTGTACTCCCAAAACTATGTGTCGTCCTGTTACATTTAAGCGCCTTGTGTGTATGTATGTATGTGTCTGTCGGGGTGTATGTGTGTCTGTCTGTCTGTATCTGTCTGTGTGTATGTGTGTGTCTGTATGTATGTATGTGTCTGTGTGTATGTGTGTGTGCCTCTATGTATGTCTGTGTCGGTGGGGGGACCACGGATCAGTTTCGCACCGGGGCCCCATGTATTGTGTGTAAGCCACTGGTGATAACTGCAGGGCTCAGCACAGAAGAGCTAAGAGAAGCTGCTGTCTAGGAATGTTTGGCTCTTAATTAACTGTAGGGGAGATGGGCAGTGTGGCGGAACAGACCTTGCCACGTGTTCTTTAAGGGGGCTGCTTGCCCACCTCCTACCTTCTGACTATGGCCCTGGGATATATGGCATTTGGAAACACTATTTGTGCCCTGTGACAAAACTGGAGATTATATGACTATTGTCCATATTTTTTATGATTCCCTTCGTTTGTTGCACTGTTCCCCGTGTGTTTCATCTGTTGGTTCGGCTGGATAGACTACCAGACAAACCTTGGAGTTACTGGGTGGCCACCATTTCCTGTATCAGAGGCACATGGTGAGAACAATGCATGAAGCACATGGTGAGAACAATGGATGGCGGCCATTTTAACTCACAGACACTTTTTGGACTTTTCTACACGGTGCCATCTCGCTGGTATTTGGTGCACAAAGACACCGTTCAGTAGTTTTAAACTACAGAACAGGGGACACATTTAACAGTAATTATTTTTCATAAAGCCTGTATATGTTCTGCGGAATCTGCATTAAACCGTATCTTCCAAACTACTAAACGGATCTGGGTGAATTTGGGATATGTGGTTCACCCAGATCCCCTGGTTCCGAGGATATATTTTTTATATGTTTTATAATACTGTATTTTCCTGTCTGTGATAATTAAGTTAGTCTATTGTGTTGAGATAATTGTATCACAGGCAGAGGGGAAGATTTCTGATGTAATGAATGGGAGTGTTAGCTGTGTTGTAATGTGTTGTTCTTCAAAACCCTGTGGGCAGTACTATGTTTGTAGAATGTGAATAAAAGAGGCTGTATGTGCCAGTACAGTCAGTTCTTCTTTACCCTCAATCTAGAGTCCTGTCTCTTATTGGGGGAATTGCTATGCTCTGCATGCTCCCTTGGATAATCACTTCTAAGCTCTTGTAAGAGCTTGTTCCTGCTTCCCTCTCTTGGAAGAGAGGTTCACCCACTGGAACCTGGAGCCTTGTCGGAGGTCCAGGGTGGGAAGGAGACGGCGAGACCCCAACCAAGCTGCGGCGGTTCGGGGGGTCTGCGGTGGTTATGGTGTCTGCTGGAGTGCTTGGAGCCCTCAGGAAGTGCTAGGAGCATCCTTCAACGAAGGTACCCAGCCGTTACATGCAGGACAAGACATTTCACCCTGGCGCCTGGCATTTGTCAGCCCTTTGCTAAGCCGCGCAGGAAACATTAAAGCCAGCCAACGCAGGAAGCAGTAACCTTCCTGCAGTTCCTCTCTGCTCTCTCATGCGCTGTTTAGTGGCATGAAGTCACTCCGGCTCCGGCATCACTACAGAGAGCACGCAGGGGAGCAGAGAGAAACTGCAGGAAGATTGAGAGGAGACACACTGGACGCCAGGGAAAGATCCACTCACCTCTCCCAATGGTAGAGAGGCTGGGTGGATTTAAATAAAAATAGCAATTTGTGAGCAAATGTGTGTGTGTGTGTGTGTGTGTGTCAGTCAGAGAGTGTGTGCCTGTCACTGTATGTCTGTCAGAATGTGTGTATGTCTGTCAGTGTGTGTCTCAGTCAGAGAGTGTGTGCCTGTCACTGAATGTCTGTCAGAATGTGTGTATGTCTGTCAGTGTGTGTCTCAGTCAGAGAGTGTGTGCCTGTCACTGAATGTCTGTCAGAATGTGTGTATGTCTGTCAGTGTGTGTCTCAGTCAGAGAGTGTGTGCCTGTCACTGTATTTCTGTCAGAATGTGTGTATGTCTGTCAGTGTGTGTCTCAGTCAGAGAGTGTGTGCCTGTCACTGAATGTCTGTCAGAATGTGTGTATGTCTGTGTAGCGGAGAGGTAGTATCTCCGCTGGTAGACAAGAGCAGCGTACAATAATCCAGGAAAAACAAGTACAGCATACAATAATCCCGGTAGAGTTATAAGGATCCTTCCTTCCCAAGAACTAGGTGACACATAGGCTGGGAGTCAACTGAGGTTTTATTCACAAGCTCCAGTATTTATGTGGTTCCCATGCATGTTACAGGCAAATGCAAATATTACAAGTTTTAGAATGAAATGTTATATTTCTTAAACTGTGTACTTTGTCTTTAAAGGACCACTATAGTGCCAGGAAAACATACTCGTTTTCCTGGCACTATAGTGCCCTGAGGGTGCCCCCACCCTCAGGGACCCCCTCCCGCCCGGCTCTGGAAAGGGGAAAGGGGAAAGGGGTTTAAACTTACCTTTTTCCAGCGCTGGGCGGGGAGCTCTCTGCCTCCTCTCCTCCTCTTCTCCTCCTCCTGGGCTGAATGCGCACGCGCGGCAAGAGTTGCGCGCGCATTCAGCCCGTCGCATAGGAAAGCATTTACAATGCTTTCCTATGGACGCTGGCGTGCTCTCACTGTGAAAATCACAGTGAGAAGCACGCAAGCGCCTCTAGTGGCTGTCAATGAGACAGCCACTAGAGGGAATAGGGGAAGGCTTAACCCATTCATAAACATAGCAGTTTCTCTGAAACTGCTATGTTTATTAAAAAATGGGTTAACCCTAGCTGGACCTGGCACCCAGACCACTTCATTAAGCTGATGTGGTCTGGGTGCCTAGAGTGGTCCTTTAAGAGATATTGCAAACTGACAAGGTGTTAGAAATGGAACATATTGTTTTTCATAGATGTTTCTTTAAGCAATAACCTCAGTGCATAATATGTTTGCGCCATTTTGTCCCAGACTAATTACAATAACAATAATGCATAAACAAGCTTCAAGGCTATACTACTACTCTTGCAGTACACAATATACTGTGGTAACCCCAAGTTAATGGAACTTCCCCAAATCCGGGAATCTCCCACGACTGTACACTTACGACTTAGTATAAACAACAGATAACCTATTCAGACTTTAAGATGCCATCTTGAACTAAGTCAGGAAAATTTCCATGACGTATACACCCTTTAGTTATGGCCTTGTATGTTTGCCATATTAAGGGAGGTCCTAAAATGAATAAAGTAAAAGAAGTGTTACTTTTTCATATATGAACTATGGTAACTCTAAAATGGAGACACCTAAGGTATAAATAGGTGTACTTTTAAATGTTAAGATACAGAGGAGAGACTTGGAGACAGACGCTGCTCCATCTTAAAATGACAGAGAGGCTGACATGATGACATGTTCAGAAGGGTATGTTAACCTATTAATGATATTTGCAAGCATGTAATTTAATCTTATAAACTCTGCTATAATGGATTTTATATTTTTATATAATAAATATCCAAAAAGACAATCTTGCTTCCAAGACAATCCTTATTTTATATTGTATTCTCAATTATTTATATATGTTAAGTAGAGGATCTCTTACTAACTATATAAAATTATGGCTCAGATATCTGTATGGTTAGCCCTACTAAGTTTTATGCTTTAAGACATTATAGTGGTAAATAAGGGAACCACACACGGTTACAAGGGGTTTCCTTAATTACTTTACAGGGGTTGTACAGTAGGGGACTACATGGGGAACTTAACATACAGGATATTTCTCCCACCATGCATCACTGTACGAGAGGGATACTCCCATAAGAATATCCTGTTAAGTGGATTATCCATCCGTACAGCAGAACTGGCTTTTTACTTAAAGATCCATA